TCTGTCTTTAGTGGGAGCAGCAGAAACACTGTACCTCTCTTTTGAGAAGCTGGCGGGGGGGCAGGTGGCTTGTCCCATTAACGAGTCATGCACTGACGTGCTCAACAGCCCATACGCCTCCCTCTTCGGTACGTCAGTTGGGCCCTATGTGTGTATCCTCTTCCTGCATATTTTATAGCGACCTCAACAACCCCTCTCACTCTTCTGTCATCCACCCTCCTGCCTCTCTCCCGCTCCTCCATTTTCCCCCCTCCTCCATTTTCCCCCCTCCTGCTTGCCCCCATCCTGTGTTTTCCCCTCTCCCCGTTCTCCATGCAGTTTCTCGTCACCCTAGTAGTCCTGTATACACCAACTCCCAGTGCTCTCTATTATGCAGCTCACACACACCACCACGCCCTCTCCGTTTGCACCTTCCCCCCCCAATTCCCCACCTCCTCCTCCCTTCCCCCACTCCATCCAACCCTATGCATCTCACTGCCTTGTTCTGGACGTCCCAAAACTGCAGGCACCTTTCTTCCTCTCTATCTTTAGATTTTACAGCCCTCTCCCACCTCCTCATCGCATTCGTTTCTAATCCATTTCTTCCAACCCCCTCCCGTCCCCACAGGCATCCCCCTCCCAGTCTTCGGCTTTGCTGCCTACTCCACTGTCGCCCTCCTCACCCACCTCTCCCGGCCCTCCTCTCCTCAAACCCCTCTCGAGGCCTCCACTCTCTCCTCCACTGCACGCTGGCTGCTGCTCTCTCTCACGGCTGCCATGACCACCACCAGCGGCTATCTCATGTTCATCCTCGCTACTGAGCTGGACGGCGCGTTTTGTCTCTATTGCGTCACCTCAGCTACTCTGTCCACGTTGCTGTTTGCCCTCACAGTGAAGGTGGGTCTATTATTGAAACCGTGAATAGGGCTGTTCAGGTAGGCCTTTTACTGTCCTAAAAAGCCCTCACCCTTCATTCTCAATTGGTCACGTGATTTGTCAAAAGTGTGTATGCCACATCGACTGCAGATCCAGGTTGAAAGTCTTCATTGCAATCCTTAAACCGCCAATAAATTTCCCCTTCTGTTTGCTCACATGCCTCCTCTTTGCTTGTCTTTCTGTGCCTCCATCCCTCCTGCACCGCCCCTCCCTCCCATGCCCTCCCCCTCCCCTTCCCCCACCAGTCCTTTTCATGGCGTGAACTACAGCAGGCGCTGCTGCCCCAGCTAGCCCTGGTGACAGCAACTGCCGTGGTTCTCTCACTCTCTTTGATTTTCATGCCTCCTCCTTTCTGCTCTTCGTGTACCGCCCCTCCCTCCTGTGTCCCCCTTCCCCCACCAGTCATTCTCATGGCGTGAGTTGCAGCAGGCGCTGCTGCCCCAGCTAGCCCTGGTGACGGCAACTGCCGTGGCTCTCTCCCTCTCCTTTGCTGATGTCAGGTCCGCCTATGCTCGGTGGGTCTTTTGAGTGTGGCATGGCCTCCATGGGTCTCTATTCACCCTGCTCCGTTTTGCCTGTCATTTCTTGGCTTGCAACTTGTACGTCTTCAAAGCATATCAGCACTTCTACCCGTCGTCTTGTGACTGGCCAATAATCCTGACCTCCTCTTCCCTTCTCTCGTCCTCTCTCCCTTCCAAAAAAGGTATTTCCTGTGTTTTCGTCTCGTCATCTTGTTGTGAAATTATATATCACATGCTCAGGGACACCGAGATTGACCTTGCTGCTATTGAACCAGAGGTCACCACTGTTTCGACACCTGTGCGCGTGCAATTGGCCAAGCATCTGTCGAATGTTGGGGCAAAGCTGTATGGTGCCTTTTGGTGCTCGCACTGCTACGAGCAGAAGCAGGTGGGTGATTGCATTTGACTCGTTTTCGTAAACATGAATGTATGGTTGTGTAAACAAGCTGAGGAGATGATTATTCTTGTCCTTGGTGTCCTGTGAGTTGCAGGCGTTTGGAGCAGAAGCTTCCAAGTACCTTCCGTACGTGGAGTGCTATCCAGAGGGCTTCAGGGCAGGAGTGAAGCTTGCTAAAACGTGCCAGGATGCCAATATTGAAGGCTTCCCAACATGGATCATTGATGGCCAGGTGAGCTCTCTTTATTGACACACACACGTTGACTCGATTGTTCAAATGTTTGGCTAGGGCTTGAAGGAGCAGCGTTACCTGCTTGTGGTTATAGGTGGCTTTGCATGCATAATGGCATCCGTCTGTTGGTTCTCCCAGCTTCCACTTTTCTGGTCATGTCTCTGAAATTGTGTTCCATCTTGCCTTGCATCCTCCTATGGGCAATTCTGCAGGTTTTGCCAGGAGAACAAGACCTTGATGAACTTGCTCGCCTTACAGGTTTTGAGGGGAAGTGAATCAATGCGGTTCATTAGCGTTAGAAGGTGAAAAGGGTTTTGAAGAGTCTCTTGTCTGTAGCCAGGCCACGTTAATGTATGCAGTTGCAAATAATATGTGGGGTACGGTATTGATTGGTTGTGAACGTAACTTCATGAGCAGCAGGCGTGTTGTGAGAGCAACAACAGAGCTAGAAGAGCAGCAGACGTTGGTGGCATTCATGCTTTGACTCTTCCCAAATACTAGTGGGATGTTGATCATTGTTCTTCACAGCCATCTGCCATTTAATTTTGCCATGTCCTTCCGCGGTTGTGCCTTTTTCACTTCCACCATCTTCCCACAGATCTCGTGCATTCTGCAAGAAAGTGACAGCGGGTTGCACAATGGTACATAATCACAGCCCAGACAACGATTAACCATGCGTGACATACACTCACCTTCCAATAAGGAGCACATCCTCGGCTGCCTGCTCTGCCTGGAAAGTAACAAACCCAAATCCCCTGCATCGGGCCTTCTCATCTTCGTCGCGAAGCACTTGAATCTCTGTGATCTGGCATCATGCATGAACATGTTGTGATGCATGAACTCACGATCACAGATGTAGGTGCTACAACATACGGTTCCGAATCGAGCGAAGTAGGAGGTAAACTCTTCGTCAGTCATGGAAGGCGGAAGACCTCCAACAAAAAGCTTTCGCGTTCTTGGGCCATTTTCCTGTTCACATAATCAACTGCTTTTCTTTATCCTGCCTCATGAAAGCTTCGACGGCTTCTTTAAGTTCTCATTTTTCAATGGTTCCGTCCTTACTGGTCTCAACACGACTTGTTTTCCGCGTGGTTCTGGCTCCTTGACTTCCACTAGCCTGGAATCGGCAGTGAGTGAAATACCTGGTTGGAAATGGAAATACTAAACCGGCGACGGTGATTACCGTCCAAAGATGGTGTGAGGAGGAGCTGTCACCGCCTTGGCTACGGAAGACGGCTCAAGAAAGGTGACAAACCCGAACCCTCTCGACCTTCCTGTCGCTTGATCTTTTACGACAACTGCATTACAAGGAACGGGTTGTACTGTAAAATCGTGGGAACAGGAGGAAAGATGGCATGCCGTTGGGATGACACTAGCCTGCTTCAATGACGCTTCCGTACTGTTGGAAGTACGCAACCAGATCGTCGGATGTGGTTTGCCATGGTAGTCCACCAACAAAGAGCTTAGACGGCATTGTCATAGCTACTACTGGGCGAGGAGATGTGTTATGAGTTTTACTAAACAGAGTGCGCGAAAGACTTCTATGAAGAGACTGTGATTACAGCTCAGGAAACAATGAAGGAAACGAGCATTTATAGGGCAAAAACTAGCTAGGCGAGAACCTCTAGGTGTGCGTGGCTCGGAAATGTCGCGATTGGTGCGGGGCGACTCGGTATTGGCTCGGTGCGAAAGTGTAGGCCGAGCCATCCTGACGCGAAGTGCTCGGGCTGTCCTCGCTAGGAGCAGCCTCTACAGTAATGAATTGTGTATTCATTACAAGATGTGTGAGCCACGGTGACGGAACACTGGTCCAAATGTTGCAGATATGCTTCTGGGCATAGCAGTTTCAGGACATGGAGATGTGGAGCTTTGATCTATCCTCGCTAGGATCGCACCTGGTTATAGAGCCATCGTGTTCCAGGACAATAATTGGACAAATTTCTCATCGTGTAATCTGCTCCTGGTGTGAATCTCGAAAAGATAATTCCAGCACGACGATGACGTGAGGTCCTGTCCTACATCAGCAGATTTTGAAGGAGACTGAGATGTCGGTGCCACATCAGCAGATACCGCCCTTTGCAATCACATCGTTGACTGGTATGAAAGGGTGCCCTTTCTCTCAGGAGGTGTGTCATTGCGGTGAGATTTTGAATGTGAAAACACCCAATCGAAACGCAATGCAGAGCTGAAAATCTCACCCAACCGCATCCAACTTTCACACCAGAGGATCCCACCACAGCTCGCCTCACCAACCCACTCTGCCTCACGGCTCTTCAACCCATCCATCAAATCATGCAGGCAAACCAGCCTCCTCCTATCCCTCCTCACCTTTCTCCAACTGCCTCTTCTACACGAAGTGAATTGCAGCTTGCTTTGGTTGGTTGGGCCTCACAACAAACTCCCGCGCTCCGACGACACTGTAGTTTTGCTATCGAGCGGTTATTGATCCATGATTTTCAGCCCGCATTGTGCGGTAGCCTTCCACTAGTCCCGTTTGTTACTCCTCTTCGCACTGGTTTACAAGTAGCTCTTGTTCGCTGTTCACTTCCGGTTGTAGCATGAGTGCTCCTGAGTCGTCCGTCTCGGACGAGCCAGCTCGGCTCGATAGTCCGTGCTCCTGCAGCAAGGTAGAGTATCCACGCCAAGTCTACCGCTGCTTCATGACTGTGATCTTACAAAACTCCTACCTTTCCGCATCCTTCTGACTCAACTACCGTTAATTCATTATTGTATTCCATCACCTTGATTGCACATGTCCTTCACCCTTCGTCCCGTTTCGTTCGTCTACAAATGTCATTCATCTTCCTCTTCTCGCTCGTTCTGTCGCACTCGCTCCCTGCTCCTTTCCGCGTTGGAACCGCGAAAGCAGGCAGGAGATGACGGGACGCAATGTCAGCGAAACAGTCACAGTAAGAACGCACAGAACGCGCCAGACATGGTGACTGCAGCTGATTCCGATCAGTCCGACAGCCAATCAGAGCAGCTAAAAGATTCTCCGTGCCCCGCGCTTACCAACGGCGAGCCATCCTCCGCTGCAGTGGAATCCGTGTCTATCAGTGACTCCGAGGCACACTGTAGCGCGGACGTTGCAGCCGTGGGAATCGGGACCGCAGCGGCGGCGGAAAAGGTCGCCGCAGCGGATGAGGGGGCGGAAAGTGTTGCGCAGAGTGCGGGGAGTCAGGAGGCTGAGGGGGGCGTGGAGAGCGCAGAAGCGGGGGACGCGGTGAGCGGAGTGACAGGCGGAGCCGGGCCGGGGGCAATGGTGGAGCCAGAAAATGAGGCGCAAGCCGCGGACCGAGTGAGCAGCGCAGGCGGAACCGTAACACCAGATGCGCCCGCAGAGGTTGCGCCAGGCTCGCCGCGGCGGCCCGAGCTAGTAGAGTCTGACACCGTTGCCTCTGATGCTGCCGCTGCCGCTGCTGCTGCGATCGCCGCGTCACTCGCAGCAGCAGCACCCGCCACGACAACCGACGACGCCGCACCTGCCGCGGCAGTCCCCGCCACCACCGCCGATACTAACGCAACCTCGTCCGACGGCAAACCGCCCACCGCTGGCGGCCCCGCCGCTTCTGGCGCCTCCGCTTCCCCCGCGTCGAGCGGTTCCCGCGCGGCAGGCTCCTCGCGGAGCTCGTCGCGACCGTCGTCGCGGCCTGGCTCGCGACCGTCGTCTCGTCCGTCGTCGCGATCGTCGTCGCCGGCTCCTGACGAGCCCGTGGTGTGTCGCGTGGCGTGCATGTCATCGGCGGGGCAGCAGGACGGGTTTCATAAGACGAACCAGGACGCGTACTGTTTCATGCGCACGAAAGACAAAAAGTGAGTGCACTCGTGTTTTGCTTCTTGCGAACTTCGATAAACAAGTATGTATATACCAACAACTAAAAATCCACTACTAGAAAAACAGCTAGTTCCTCAGACAAAAAAATAACAACCACCACCCCTACCGCATCTCGGTTGTGCAGATCGCTCATCTTTGGCGTCTTTGATGGCCATGGGCCACAAGGACATGACGTCTCCAAGTTTATCAAGGTAAATTCCCCTCTTCCCTCCTTGCTGATGACTCCTCCCACAAACCTTCAGTCTCCCTGTGCACGCCCCTAATGATGTAAATTTGCTCTATATACATGACTTAGGTAACATGTAACTCATGTTACATAGTTTTTTATTCGTTTGACCTCCCAATCCTTGCCAACCTCCAATCCCTCCCCTTTCGGCATGCCTTGTCATGCCACCATGCTGTGTCACCCCCCACACAGCACATCCCTTCCCATCACCCATACCCGGTACCCTTTCTCCTCATCTTACCATGACCTGCTTGCTACCACTTCCCCATGACACCAGGAACGGCTTCCAGAGATTCTGATGGAAGGCTCAGATCTTCTCGTGGACCCCGAGAAGGCCCTAACGGATGGCTTTTTGGCGGTTCACGATGCGGCACTTGAGGAGAGTGAGTGGGGGGGGAGTGGGAGGGTGTGGGGATAGGAGAGTGACTGGGTTTGGGGTGGGGTGTGAGAGAGGAGGGTGGAGGAGAGAAGAGTGAGTGGAGGTGGGTGTGGGAAGTGTTGAGCATGGTTGAGCGCTGAGAGTGGTGAGAGTGGTGTGAAATGCAATGCAGCATGCCTGAAAGGAAGTGGGTGGGAGTGGAAATTCGGGTTATTCCCAAACTCCTGTGCGTTTTATAACACAAGTTGCAGCGGGGGCAAAGTGTGTGGGTGAGAGGAAGCTGTGAAGGGGTAACAGGGAGTGAGGGGAAGAAGCGAAGGAGTTACCAGAGAGGATGAGGAGGAAAGAAAACCAGGAGATTACAGAAAGAAAGTGAAAAGGGCGATCCACTGCAGCATAAGAAGCAGGCACCACAGGTCCGCTCCGCAGCAGATCATTGGACATCTTCCATTGAGCAGCGGCACTTAGGTTTTCGGTTTTACAAGCTCTTGACTAGTAGCCAGTGTTAAGATTTCACTGTTTTTTCCTACTTGCTCTAGCCTAAACCTAAGTGCCGCTGCTCACTGGAAGATGTCCAACAACGAGCATAAGAAGCAGGCACCACAGGTCCGCTCCGCAGCAGTGGTAGTAGCCATCTGTACGAGTATTTTTGTTTTCTTCCACCTGCTCCTACCCCTTATGGCCTTCCTTCACTGCAGCATAAGCAGCAGGCACCACAGTAGTTGTAATGTATCTGTACAAATTGTTCCCCTTACATGCCTCTCTCCGTTTCATACCCCTTACAGCCTCGTTCAATTGCAACATAAGTGGCACCACGGCGGTGGTAGCTCACCTCTACAAGCAGCGGCTGGCTGTGGCGTGGGTCGGGGACTCAAGAGCTGTGCTGGCACGGAGACGAGAGGGCGGAGGTGAGCAAAAGGGAAGGGGATGCTGAGAGGCGGAGAATGGTGGATGAACAGGTGGGAAACGAGAGATGATGGGATGGGGGGCTCTTCAGCAGCAGCTGGCGTGGATGACCTGAGGGCGGTGCGGCTATCAGCGGACCACAAGCTCTCTTCTCTCCAAGTTCCCATTCCTTCCTTTCCACTTCCGTTTCCCCCTCCCCGCTCCCCCTCGACTGCCACAAGCGAGATGACCTGACAGCAGTGCGGCTATCAGCGGACCACAAGCCCCTCACGTCAAGCACCACCCCTTTCCGCCTCTCTCTTCCCTCTCCCCCCCACCCACCCAATCCCCCCCTTTCCTGCCACAGAGCGGGATGACCTGATGGCGGTGCGGCTGTCAGCGGACCACAAGCCCAACAACGATGAGGAGAGGGCGCGGATAGAGGCCAGTGAAGGCAGTGTGCAGCAGTGAGTGCGCAGAGTGGTGTATTGTCTGTTTATTGCCAAGCTCTTGCTGTCTGGCGTACAGTCAGGTGTACTGTCGGGCTTACTGTCAGTTCATATACCACATACATTGTGGACAGAGGTAGCCCCATGCTCAGCTTGGTGCCACAGATGCCATATGCTTGCCATGCGACCATCCCATGCTGGGCCTGGCATTGCATGTGGTGACATGACAAGCGTTCCAATAAGCATTGTGCAACGTGCATCATGCAGGGATATGGACGAGAATGGGGACGGCATGGGGCTCTGCCGGAGTGAGGATGAGAGGGGTCCTGTGCTGGGCCTGGTGTGTCGAAGACAATGCCATGCAGAGAATAACCTGATGTATACTTGCATTCATGACACGTGTTTCATGGCAGGGATGTGGATGAGAATGGGGACGATGTGGGCCCGTTTCGAGTGTGGATGAAGACGGGTCCCATGCTGGGCCTGGCCATGAGTCGCAGCCTGGGGGATAAGCTCGCGCACACTGTTGGGGTCTCCGCCACTCCTGAGGTATGCTCCCACCCACTCAATGCGTCCGCTACCTACACGGAGTGTGTACCTTGCTGTACTATATCACCCCATGCTGGGCCTAGCTACGAGTCGCAGCCTGGGGGATAAACTTGTGCACACGGATGGGGTCTCTTCCACCCCTGAGGTAAGCACTTCATGTGTCTTCTCGCATGTATGGAGTATTTCGTCCTTGCACTTCCCGATCCCTCCCGATCTCCTCAGGCCACGCCCCTCCCCTCCCCTCCTCTCTCTTCCCTCACAGGTGGTCGTGCGTCGTCTCGACCAATCAGACGTCTTCCTGGTGCTCGGGTTAAACGGCCTGTGGGAGTATGTTGGGGACGACGAGGCGATCGGGGTGGTGGTGGCGGGGGGGAGCATGCCCTCCTTATACCCCCTCAACCCTGCCTTACCCTATCCCCCAACCCTGTCACTCTACAAGCCATGCTCTACATCTCAGCCTGGCTTTTCTCACCCCATCTGAGCCCTCCCTCTGTCCCCTCCCCACTCTGCTCCCCTCCCCTCCCCTCTCCTCCCTCACAGGTGGTCGTGCGTCGTCTCGACCAATCAGACGCCTTTCTGGTGCTTGGTTCAGACGGCCTGTGGGAGTATGTGGGGGACGACGAGGCGATCGGGGTGGTGGTGGCGGGGGGGAGCATACCTTCCTTCCCTTCTCAACTCCACCCTAATCTCCAACCAATCCCTCCTCTCTGGAAACCAGACTCCACATCTCATTATGTCCTTGAATCCCCCCTCTGACCCCTACCCTCCCCTCCCTCACAGGTGGTCGTGCGTCGTCTCGACCAATCAGACGCCTTTCTGGTGCTTGGTTCAGATGGGCTGTGGGAGTATGTGGGGGATGACGAGGCGATCGGGGTGGTGGTGGCGGCGGGGAGCATAGAGGCGGGAGTGAAGGCGCTGCTGGCCTTGGCTAAGGAGAGATGGCTGACGAAAGATGGGGCGGGGTATGTTGATGATATCACTGCTCTAGTCGTGGGGTTCACACACAGGAAGGTGTAGAGCGGTTGAGTTGAGGCGATAGGGGTGGTGGTGGCGGCGGGGAGCATAGAGGGGGGAGTGAAAGGGTATGCTGATGAGGTCACTGCTCTGGTCATGGGGTTCAACACACAGGAAGGTATAAAGTGGTTTTTGGAGAGGCAGTAGAGGGAAGAGGGGGGAAGGAGAGAATGGGGGAGGGCGAAGGGGACACAGGGACTGGATGATACGGGGGGTCAAGGAATGGGGCTGGGTATCACTGCTCTGCTCTGGTGCTGGTGCTGAAGGTGTTGAAGGTATCACTGCTCTGGTGCTGGTCGTGAGGTTCATGCACTGCAAGGTGTAGAGGGAGGAGGGAGGAGGAGGAAGAGGAGCCAAGGAGTGGTGGATGCCAAGCGACGGAGCACCGGAAGGTGTAGAGTGGTTGAGCTGAGGCAGAGCACGGTAGGTGAGTCAAGAAATGATACCGAGGAATAAGGTGTGAAGGGATGGTGTTTCAAAGAGGAGAGGCAGAGTGGGTGGACAACGACAAAGCTGGAGTGGGTGTAACAGTTCCAAGAGCTTCCGGCACAGGCCCAGAATCGGAGAATGTGTACATACATGGTTTCTCCCACACCTCACATACCTGCTTGCCATTTGGCATGCTTAAATGTTGCTCCTCGGAAATGGTTTCAGGAGCTAGTGGTTAAAGCAACAGGTGCTCATAGCTGCAGTGCAATATTTATTGGAACTGTTAAATCGAACATGTTTTGTCACTGCAGCCTACTCTCTAGCGAGGTGTTGGAACTCTGATCTGATTTCTGTATGCTACGGTATATGGAATGGGGTATGGTTTTCTATATACGTAGGTATGTATGCAGGTGTTCCAATCCTAGTTGAGCCCAATCTACACATTCATTCCATTGATAGTGATATGCAATAATGGTTGCTAGTTAGCATCGCCCACTCCATCCATCACATCACCTACACTTGTTCAAATATCCTGAAAAGTGTAGTAGCACTAATCCAAAGCCTCTACATGATTTTGGCCTTCGCGCAGTAGCGAGATGAGGAGGCTCGGCATCAAAGTTCATGTCAAGCTTCATACGCGAAGCTATCGGGGTTACATGTTTTAGGGAAATCCACTACGGTATTCAGATGTAGAAAGGTCGTGAGTATGGTTTACCAGCATTCCCAGTCAAACACTGGTGTTGACTGGCTTCCCCCGAGGTTGTCGCTCATTGCAAGCTCAATTTTCGCCGATCCCGCCTTGGCACAGCGCGGTCAAAAAATGTTTTCCGGTTCGTTCAAACATTGTTCAGGGAAGCCTTCAAAATGCTTGTGGGCAGTAACCCGACATGCTCGCGCGCTGGATTCCAGCAAGGAGTCTGTGGCAGCAGCGCAAGCCCAGATTCGAACACGGGCAGCCACATTATTTTTGCGTGGGCAGATGAGCACAGAATTCGGCAGGTCGGGGTCTCGAGAACACCTCGCGCCAACCTCGCTCCCGAGCCTGACAAACCCTGCTTCCGAGCCTGAGCAGCCCTCCTTCCCGACAAGCCAGAGGAACCTTTTCACCTCCACCCCCTCCATTCCCCTACTCGACAATACAACCTACAAATCTGCACACACAGCATTTATGCAATCATCCTAGCTTGCGCATCAGTTCTAGCATACATATCAACTCTCAACGTTTGCTAATCTCGTGAAGAATCCGCACTATGGCCTCAGAGTCTGACTACCCGTCGTACTTCAACAACGCTTTTAGCTTCTGGAAGTGCCTCGATAGCAATAAGCCGACGCAACCATCGCTGCAGCCTCGGAGCTCCTCCAACGCGAGCAAACTCCGTCAGGTTAGCAGCCCCAGCCTGACGCCCTGCTGCAGCGAGGCCAGCGACGTGGTGCTCTCCTGCGCTGACACCAACACTGAGAGCGTCGGCGACGCCAGCCGCAGTGAAGCATGTCTGGTCGACGCTGCTGCATCGCTGACGCACGACTCCCCGACATGGGATCCGACCGCATCCGCTTCGTCATCTCCAGATCCGGTGGCGTATGTACCGGCTGTGACGTCGGAACCAATGATGTCCTATTCGATGACGTCAGAACCGGAAATTTCGGAGCCAGCTACGTCAGAACCATTGACATGCGAGTCGGTGTTGTCGGAATCGGTGACGTCGCAATCTGCATCATCGCTACCGCCGGCTGAAGATTCCCTGACGGCCGTAGCATCTGGCTTGGGGAAGGCAACGACAAGCTCAGTACCTACGCCACACCTGGTGCCGTCTCGCATCCCCAAACCAAGCGGCCAGAGATCGATCGTGAAAAGCCGCGTGGAGCGGACGACGTTGATTCCACGGCCTGCTGCAGCTGAGAGGCAGGTGCGAAGCAGAAGGAGTTCAAATGGCGCGAAGCAGCCTGACGACAAAAGTGTTGCAATTCCCGCGGCTGCAGTGAAGAAGGTTCGTGCTGTACCGTCGTCCAAGGTGGTGCTGGCTGCGAGCTCACGTCGTCCGTGGCGGCCGTAAGCGCTGCTGTGACTCGCTGCAAGCTTCAACTTCCTACGTGCTGAGCTGATCTACCAACACTGCACCCGAGTCACATGAGAAAGGGGACCTTCCTTGGGGAACCTCCCAGAGGATCCCCGTGGGACCGGGGACCTGATTTCCTCCTGGTTAAAAAAAAAAGGCTAACGTTTCAAAAAAGGCTGAGAAGCACCAAAGGAATACTCCGGCGGGATGAAGGTGGAGTACACAAGAGCAGAGCCTCGAGCAGATTGCAGCAGCGGGGAGATGGTTGGAGGTTGGGGAAGTGGGATGATGGTGGGTCCCTTTTTTGCACCCTGCTTGTCAGGGTGTTCGGGAGAGTGGGTTGGGAATTGGTGGGGGTTGGAAGGATGATCATCTGCTGCCATTCAGCTGTGGTTGTGCTTTCAGTGTGCTCCTTCAGGTTGGCATCAAGCCCAGTGGGCACCCAAGGGATGGCTCAGGCCCGTGGCGCTCCCGAAGGGATGGCTCTGGTCCGGTGCGCTCCCAGAGGGATGGCTCTGGCCCGGTGCACTCCCAGAGGGATGGCATGGGTCCGGTGCGCTCCCTAAGGGATGGCTCTGGTCCGGTGCGCTCCCAGAGGGATGGCTCTGGTCCGGTGCGCTCCCAGAGGGATGGCATGGGTCCGGTGCGCTCCCAGAGGGATGGCTCTGGTCCGGTGCGCTCCCTAAGGGATGGCTCTGGTCCGGTGCGCTCCCAGAGGGATGGCTCTGGTCCGGTGCGTTCCCAGAGGGATGGCTCTAGTCCGGTGCGCTCCCAACGGGATGGCTCTGGTCCAGTGCGCTCCCAGAGGGATGGCTCTGGTCAGGGCACTTCTAATGGTTGGCATGAGCATACCTTGACACGTCAGTTAGGTGCTTGCTTATCTTGTATTAGCCTCATTTATATAATCAATAAATGCTTGTTAAAGAAAATGCTGTGTTTTGAAGGTTCTGTAGTGGTTACCGGTGATTCAAGAGCATTGACTGTCCAATCAAAGGCAACAACAGCCTTGGTACTCACTGTATGACACATTCTGTCTTCATGCGCACCCTAAACACCCACTTGTGAGCTTAAAGTGGGTGTTTAGGGTGCGCATGAACATTCTGTCTCCATGCAAGTTGGGTGTTGCAAGTTAAACAACTTGCATGGACTCATTCGACACAAATGCAGCCTGCTCTATGCTGAGCATGATAGATTGAGCAAGTGGAGGACAACTATGCTCTATTACCCTGTTCCACATGCTGCATCTTCGTTCCTCCTCTCTGCATTGGAGCAGCCACAGCAACTACAATAGCACCAGCGTCCCCACAGCCGCAGCAGGGAATGCTTTGCTCGTCTAATCCTCTCATTCCTGCCTTTTCACACCTCATATCCAGACCTTGATAGCTCCAATGTGCACTGAAGCAGTGAAGTATACATGAGACGCCGCTACACTTGTTTCATGCCTCAACTGCTGGCCTTGGTGCCTCCTGTGTGCGTTGGAGCAGCAGCAGCCACGGCAACAAGCACCAGAGCCCCCACAGCAGCAGCTAGGGACGTACCCCACAGCACCACGGGCGTGTGGGCAGCACACCCCGCCGGCACCTCCCACAGCAACGCCCCTTCCTCCCCCTCCTCCCCCCGCTCCTCATCGCGTCTTCCCTCTGCTGCTGCTGCTTCGGCGCCCTCCGAGTCTCCTCCCAGCCCTGCTGCTCCCGCCGACAGGTCCGTTTTTCCGTCTGCAGGTGCTGGTTGTGATGACCAACTGAGCCGCATGGGAAGGCACTCACAGCGGGGTGTGGTGACGGCATCACATACTGCTGCTGATGTTGGTGCTGGTGATTCTGATGCTGATGAGGGCGAATGTGGTGCTGAGGATGGTGGGGATGGTAATTCAGATGATGGTGTGGATGCTGATGGTGATGGCGACGCTGGTGCTGAGGAGGATGGTGTTGATGGGTGCAGGGCGGAAGGTCCCGCGCAGGTGGGGGGAGGAGGGAGCAAGAGGCATGCGGAAGGCAAGGGCACATAAACCGCTGCGTGTGATTGGCTGCAGATGCCGGTGATGGCCCGTGAGAGAGAGGAGAGAGTGGAGTGGTTGCTGTGAAGGGCGGCTTTAAGTGGTTGCAGGTCCCATGGGAGGGAGGCAAGGGGAAGGAGTGAGTGAGAGGCGGAGCGGAGGAGGGAGAGAGGGGAGAGTGGGGGGGAGAGAGCTGGCTGCACGGCCTGGAAGAAAGTGGTGGGGAGAATGGTGGGAGGAGGAAAAGTAGATGTGGATCATTAGTCAAATTCCAATACACGATTTGCAAAACGTTATAAACACGTGTGTCCTCTGAAAACAATAAGTGCTTCACAGTGTGTACAAAGCAGACTGGTATCAAAGATTGTGAGGGGGTGAGAGTGACAACAGAAGGGGGTTCCACTACCAGACATGCAGATAAACGGTATTGACCTGGATGGCAGTAGGAACACATGGCTGGGTGTATGAGGGCATCGAGCATGGTTTACCGGGTATCGGGAGTGCAGAGGTAGGCTGAACTC